CAGGATCAGCCTCCCCCCAGCCCTGTCCCCCTCACCCACCCGAGGCTGACCCCCCCAGCCCTCCCATACTCCTGCTCAACCCCTGGCTGAAGGGCTGGCCCTGCCTCGCTCAGCACCAGCCAGGCAGCTGAAACTCAGTGAAACCGTGTCTTTCCTACTAAAATAAGTGTGATCTGGGGGTGTAGGTTTGGAGACCCTAATGCAAAGCTGCTCTGCAGGGCTGGCTCTGAGGTTTTCACCTGCCTGAGCTGGCTGAACAGACCGGAGGACGCTCGAGCAAATGGCGGCATCTTCGTTAACCAAAGCATCCCAGGAAAGGACTGAGCATGAGTCCGTGGCTGAAGGCTCAGCCGCAGCCCTGGGAGGCCAGGAGTCCTCGCAAACCCAGACGGTGCTTGAGCTGAGATGGCTGACGCCAGGCTGCTGAGCGGCAGAGGCAGACATACTCACGCTGGCCCTCAAACACCCCCCAGGTGCCAGTTTCTGGGAGCAGGGACTCGTCGGGCACTGCGGGACTGGTCCCCACAGGGCGATGCTGTACCTGGCCGGTGCAGCGGCAGTCCTGGGGGAGCCTCTCCTTCCCTTTGTACCTTCCCAGGACACCTTTGAGCGTGCTGGTCTGGGCAGCCCTTTAGGAGAGCAGGTTTGAACTCTCCCAGGCCAAGCACTAGCCAAAATCTCCCACCTCTAGCCACAGGGGCAGCAGGGAGCACCTTTACCCCAGTCTGATTGTATACCTGGTAAAAAAAGAGACCCTCTGCTGTTATTTAAAAGCCCAGAACACACCCAAATCCAGGAGCACTTTCCTGCAGCTATTTAAGGGTATAAACCTGAGGGAAGCAGCGGACACCAGGTCCTCTTGTGCGAGGGGTTTAAATATTTGACTCAAGCTTGGAGGTGCCTCTTTAGGGACAAACACCAAACTGTTTTCTGAATACCTGCTGTCCTAAACACTTATGCAAACATAGCCATTATAACACTGAGCGTTACAAGCTGCTCCTGATATAGTAAAAGTTGAAAGATCAAGAAAATGAGAATGAGCAAGAGGGAGCCATGAGCAATCACAAAGCTTAATTAAATGTTTGATGAATTTATGATCTTGCTGAGAAGGCACAAGCAGAGGCCTTGCCTGATAGATAGGGCCAGAAAAGATAAGAACTCCTGCCTTTGTTCCCGTCCTTGTAGATGATTTAGCTTAAACTAGCCATATAGTTTTACATCACTAATGAAAACTTAGATAATAAGTGCACTAACAAGCATTTTTAGGGACTAACGAGCATTCTTTAGGATAAGATGTACCAAAACATGTAAAGGCCCATACTGTGCAGAATCACCTGAGGAGGGTCAAGTAGCAGACAAGTGAGGAAGACTATGGAAGACCACCAGAGGACTCCTGAAGACCACCAGAGACCTTCAATGCGCCTGCGTAAAGGACATTTGCATATGCTAATAGTTTCCCAGAAAACTAATGAATATGTATAACATTTCTCGGAAATCTAGTGAATATGTATGTAGAACATGTACTTAACCTGCACAATTAGGCCTGACAGTGTGCACGATAGGTGGAGTGACCCCCCGTGCACCCAGCGCTGCAATAAAGAACGCCTGCTTTCTAAAACTCCAAAATCAAGTGTTAGAGAGTTTCTTCAACTGGCTTTTTCGGTATCGCTCCAATAGCTGTTCCCACTGGTCTCTCCCCCCCAGACCTGTCTCTGCCAGCCCAGGGCTCTGCCTGCCTTTGGGGCCAGCAAGGCTGGCTGCAATTTGCTGCTGCCATGCAACACCAAGCAGCAATTTTTGCTCCTCTCCCCTTCTGAGGGCTCAGCTATGATCTCTTTTCTCTGATTTCAAAGCTCTCCCTCCCTCTCGTGGACATGAAAGCTCAAAGAGGAAAAAGAAAACCCAACTCCTCAAGCTGCAGCTTTCCATTGTAAATCTTTTAAGCCATTTCTGTCTGATTTGGATTTCCACTGCATCTCCCAGAGATCCATTCCCTATCTAAACCAAACTGCATTTCAGGATGATGCTTGAACCAAGCAGACATGTCAACTGAAGCATGTTTTACAAACAACAGCTCCTCTCTCATGGCCGTGGTAGTTCAGACGGACTTGGGTTAGGTTGGCACTGCAGCACCCGCAGTCAGATGCCCCAACGCAAACATGTGCACGTCGCACACCAAGGGACCCACTCCAACAGCAGAACAGCCATCAGGTTTATCACAGGCACATTTCTGCCATGCTGCCTTCCTCATATGCTGGCACGAAGCTTTGCTGCTCCTCTGGAGTCTGTAAGTGGGAGGATAAAACTGTCAACTGTTGGCTTGGTGCGTGGATTCCTGCTGCAGAGCTGGCTCTGCTCTTCCCCCAGGGCAGAGGGAGAGGAGGACAACACAAACCTGCGGCGCTGCATCGAGCAGAGCCTTGGTTGAGAGCCTTGCAGTGAGGTGGTGGGTCTAAGCCGCCTTTGGCATTGCAGGGAGAGCTGTAGAGAATAAACCCACTGAAGGTTACCAGCTCCAGAGACTCACACCATGCACAGACCATCCCTGTGCCACCAGCCCCTGCAGCCTGGGAGGGTTGGTAGCCTTACAACGTGCCTTTTCCTTTTGCTTTCAGCCACCCTTGGAGACCAGATCCCCAGCCTGCTGCACCCCTGCCCAAATAACCCATCTATGTCCCAGGCCAGGAATTTATTTTGCAGTTTCTGGATGGGGTATCCTCCTACTGATCTTTGCCTACAATGCCGTGGGTGGCGAGTTGCACTGGTGTTTGGGAAGAAACTGGGTGTTTTAATGGTCCCACTCTGCAGCATGAGGGTAGACCTGGCCTCTCTGTGACCTGACGGGAGCTCAGGGGAGACCAAAGACATCGCTAGAGTCAATAAACCCAAATGCCAGTACCTTGCTGTGGCTGTTTGAGGGCACAGGGAGCTGGGGCAGTTCCCGCAGGGTGAAAGCTCCCTGGGGCTGGGCTTTCCCCACGAGCTGGGCCTGCAACCTCCAGGGCCATGGCTGGGGATGTGGCGCAGCCCTCGCCGAGGGCAGAAGTGACTCCCTGAGGGCGTGTGGCCAGTCTGGGACCAGGAGAGGAAGGCAGAGCTGCGCTGCTGTGTCTCAGCACCTGCTGTGCCCTGTGGGATACCTGGCATTCTGCGGCACTGCTCCTAATTGCCTGCTTTCCCCTGCGAGATAACGTCAGGAACAGAGCGTCCTCACACCACCACAAAGTGGTGTATTTGCTTCCCTGTGCATTCGCTTCCCCATGTACCTCGTCTGTGTAGCTGAACAGAAGCCGGTTTGGTGGAGCTGCTCGTGGGCTGCTGAGGGTGAAGGGGGTTCTCTGTCCCGTGGCAGCAATGTCACAGGGCTGTGACTGTCCCCAGACCTCCCAGCACTGCCAGCAGGCTTAGATCTGAGCGTCCATTAAGACAACTGAGAAGCTGTGGAGTGGGTTAGGTATAGGAATAATTGATTTGTTAAATATTTCTCTCTCCACAGGAATAAAGCGAGACAGCCTAGGGGCCACATAAAGTGTCCTTGGAGAGCTGATTGCACCGGCCAGTCCTGAGACTTCCATCTGTGAAGGCTCTGAAGGAATAAAACAGGCAATTTTGCAGGCAGGAAAAGAAGGCAGATGTGAAAAAGATTTGTTCTCGCTGCAGTGATTTACCGTGATCCCTCACCCCTGGGGAGAAATACAGATCCTCCCGCAAACCTGATCTCACCTCTGGGGTGTTTAGGTGCAAGGATTTAGCTGCGTACTGGACAATTTGGACACGTTCGCAGCCTGAGAGGACCCCATTCCTAAAAAAATACACGCTGCAGCCCCTGGGGTTAGACAAGCCCTCTCCCAGTGACCGCTACCGGCGGGGAGCAATAAGGGAGACCACCCAGACACCCCACTTTGGGTATCCAGCTCGGCTACCCCAGCCCCATCCCGGGGGCGGTCGCACCACCAAAGGACATTTTACCCCGCCGGATTTACACCCCCGCCCCCCTCCCGGGGCAAACCGGGGGCCGCGCCGGGCTCCCCTCCCCGGGGCCGGG